CAGAACGTAGTGTTAAAAATCGAATCGCGCAGACGTTTAATGTCAAAATAACGTTGGCGCTAATATTGCATGATGCTATTTGGGTTACCGATATCTCTCTATTAATTGTTGAACTGTCTTTTATATTTTTATCATGTTAAATAAAATTATTGATTGTTGGAATTTGAGTGGTTTCATTTGCACATAAAGAAGCTACACGTTATGCTTATTTTTGAATTTCACGACTCCATAGATTCTCTTGTCTTGAATTACAAATAACTAAATTTATTTGTAACAAATTGGCGCCCAACGTGGGGCTACGCGTTATCTTTATTTCGCGGTAACGTTATTTCAGTACGTAATGTTAAAAATCGAATCGCGCAGTCGTTTAATGTCAAAATAACGTTAGCGCTAATACTGCATGATGCTATTTGGGTTACCGATATCTCTCTATTAATTATTAAACTTTTTTTTATATTTTGATCATGTTGCCTCAAAGATATTTTTTGATAGATGTATGATGGTTGCTTATTAATCAAGAATTTGTGGTAGAAAACCAAACAGTGGAGCAATCTACCGTTTTACATATTGAGCCAATTTAGGTTTTCAAGTGAAACATGCGCATGTTTGCGTAAACCACATATCAGTCGAACACAGGAATTTTGCAGCATTTGGAGTCTAAGAGAATCAGATTTTCTTATACAGTTATTGTAGATTGTGTCGCCATAGTTTAAATGGGACAGAACTAGTAGTTCACAAAGAAGAATTTTGACACGTTTGTTCAAAATATGTTTGTTACTATACAGGGTGAGTCCGAAATAAGTGCGCATTTTGCTATGGTAGATAGAGACCAGTAGGACAATCACTTTTTGCATGGGTACATGTGTCCGCAAACGTCTGGTTAAGAAAATACAGAGTGTTGAAATTTTCGGAAAATTTTGACTTTATATTCAAAATGCCTTGGGCGATTTTATTCAAATTTCCAGAGAGTGTTTGCAATGTTCTCAAGCATCTTTCTAAAAAATCCGTTGAGTTACACTTTTCCAGGACAGGACCCTTATTTTTTCGAAAAGAAAAAGTGGTACGCCCATGAGCTTTTCGAAAAATTGAAAACTATTTCTTGATTCCTTGTTTAATTTTAAACAAAAAAAGTATCTTGAGTTTTTCTTGTTCGATGCGAAGTTTACGAGATAAAAAATAAAAATCAATGAATTGTTTGGAAAATCTCGTTGTTCCATATAATCCACTCTGTTTACATGATACCGAAAACTGAACGACTATGAAGTTGAAAAAGCTAATGTCATATTATATCGCAAACACTCTCTGAAAATTTGAACAAAATCGCTCAAGGCATTTCGAAACTAAAAGCAAAAAGTCAAAATTTTCCGAAAATTTCAACACATTGTATTTTCTTAACGAGACGTTTGTGGACACATACAAAAAGTGGTTGTCCCACTATATTCTATCTATCATAACAAAATGCGCACTTATTCCGGACTCACCCTGTATATAAGCTTTAGATTATTGAAACCTCTCTTAATTATAAGTCATACCATGTCCATGAAAAATCAAGGGCGAATCAAGTATATCATACCTAAGTTTTTAGCTTATTCTGTTATTTCTAATTTTTGTTTGCCTCTTATTATGTTTACAGAGCCTTTACATCTATTCCTAGCTGCTTTACGGCCAAACATAATTACCTGCGACTTTTTAGGGTTGATAGAGGGGTACACGTAATTTGGTTCCCAAGATAATAAGGGTCAGAAACTTGGTTCCCGCAACTTTTCGTTTACCTGATTTGTATGTTACTACCTGAAGTACTTAAGGTACTCCATTTTCTGTTACTTGACGAGGGAAGTTGCAGATTCAAGCCTTGAATCAAGGTAGATAGAGGCTAGAACTTCTCAGTTAACTTCAAAAGTGGAGGTACAGGAGTCAATACGTAAGGGACTTGATTCCTCTAGGAAACCAAAATGGAGATCTTTAGAAATGTGGGATTCTTGAAATCGGCTTCGTCGAAGGAAACAATAATCACAAGACTTCCGATGTTGAAATTTCCGGTAATTAACCGAACATTGCTTTGCGCATCTTTATTTCGTCAAATTAGTGCTTGATGGCCGAACGCACTTAGGAAGATGGCTGCCCCCAGGCCAAGCTCAACCTTCCAGGTTGAAAGTCAAAATTTAAAAAAGCCGAAAAATCGGACAAGCTGAACAAGCAGAGCTTTCCTCCCGAAAAATAGCCAACGGAAAGTGTTGGTACTAAACTGTTACTTCAAATTTAAATGAGAAGCGTGCCCTCTAGGTTAATAATTGCTAATATTATTGGCGGCAGAAAACTTTTAGTAATGCCAGTCACCAGACTATCAACAATCAAGATGATAATTTAACTTATAAAATAATATATTGAAAAAAGAAGGAATAGTAGCATTTGCCATGCTACCAAACCATGGCGGTTTTTACTTCAGTGTTATGTACCTATATAATTGCTTTCCACGTATAGTCGGAATTTTTTCGGGATTTATAATATAAAATATTATTGGCAATTGACGAACTTCAAACACTAGCGGTTACAACACATAAACTAACTACAACAAGATTACTAACTTATTACCTAAACCGCCCACCCCAGGTACCTAATCAATAATAATATGCATCTTTAGGGGTCTGGGTACCAAATTACATAGATTGATAAAAGAAAGGGGCTAGCACCTTTTTATTTACTACCTGCCAGGAACCAAATTACCAACACCTTGATAGAGAGGCAGTACTCGTATGAAGTTTTTACTAATGACTCTATGCCTTTATTAATTTGTTCATAACTTTATTGCAGGTTTTCTTCTGTAGTTATTTTATAGTACTGCGCATCATCTGCGTAGTAATGTGACAAACAAAATTACAAAGTACGGTGAAATTATGACGTGAAAAGAGAAAAGAGCCGTAGATTTTCTAGCTTCTCAGGATTTGCATTTTTTGGCAGGGGTTTGACATGTGCCGTTTTCCGCAAATCAAGATAAACAATGAAAAAAATGCAAAAGTCGAATATATGTTTTAAAATGCGTGTATTATGTGAAAATATTGAACATTTCCAACCTAGTCTTGGTTACAAATGATACTGAAAATTATAGGGAGTACCAATATCTACTGTTATTTGACTTGCAAATTACTTTAAGGGTGGTTTGAGGGGTTATAACTAATAATTCGAATAGTACAAATGGTAGTGGACGTTATAGGTAGTACCAATATACACCGTACATGTACCTTCATCACTAGGATTATAGGTAAGATTGTTATCTTGATGGCTCTTTTACATCAGAATCAGAAATTTCTAACTGAAAATGGTCATTGAAAGAATCGCCTCTGGCCAAAAGTTGGGAAAATAAAAGATTATTATTGAAACATTATTGGTTATACCTATACCTTGAAAAATCTTAGGTCAAATAATTATCACTCCTGATTAGGTTTACATCATAAAGTTGGAAGTTATAGAGCCATTAAGTATATGACAAGTTCTTTTTCTTCTATATTATATGGAATTCTTCATACTCGATACAGACTACACACTAAATAATTGATGAGATTTAGAGCTGAAATATTTGAAACAAGGACTTCAGGATTGTCAGAGGAAACTGAAAAGTTGAAGAATTCACCCCACATTGCTTAACGCGATTTTATTTCTAGAACTATAAATCCAAATGAGCTGAAATTTTCAAGGATTGTAGTACTCTACTATCTCTAATAGAAAAAAACGTTATGATCTTTCAAAATTTCAGTACCTACCTACTGAAATGATGAAATTTCAAATTCATACGCTTTAAGTTCTTCATAGAATCTAGTTATTCATTACCTTACCTCATCGAATAATTTTTCTTGACATAAATCAGCAACCACATAGAAATCCCCATAGCAATATACAACTCAGCTAGCTAAAGGTTTTCTATAGGGTATTGCTAATAATATAGGCTTTTAAGAACGCTAAAGATAAAATACATTACACTATTAATTTACTTAATAGTGACTTGAAGAAAGGATCTCTCATGCACGTTTCCAGTCATGCATGATACGTTTTGATAAATCACTTCTTAATACTACTTTATCACTATTTCGTGCCTAATCGGCCAATTTATCAGTCGAAATTGTTTATAATTGCAAGAAGATAAGCTTCAATTATACAATTCTTCATATATCGAAATGAAACATTCTTTCAAGTAGTTCCGCATCTCATCTAAGGCGTCTATGGCCATGTTTTACGAAAGCGCATAGCAAGCAAAACGTGGGTGGGATTGCTAAGGCATTTTTTTTTTGTGCTGCATAGTTAGATAGTTTCAGATGGCCTGTATTCTCACGAACTTGTCAGAATACGAATTCCATACAACTTTGCATTATTATGTAATTCGCGAATTAATTTCACTCGATTTGGGAGGCTTGGGATATAGAACGCAATCGCGATTCCTTGATGATCTTATAATAAGGAATATTCACACCTTTGTTTTGTTTATTAGCCAAATATAAAGCATATTAACATCAAACTTAACTAATTTTTAAGAAAATCAACCAAAAATAATGCAAAATTGTTAAAATTACAGGATTCACAAACATAAAGAAACCAATTTCTCTGGCTAGGTATCTATGAAACTTTGTTGATAGATATGATAGATTGATGATAGAAGTTTTTTGTCACTAGTTACTAGTTAGTTGAATTAGATTGTAGTAGCTTGTGAGCTTGTTGTAATCTCTATGGTTATTATGATGGTTCGTCTTGTATGTGGGCCCAGAAGAACGTGTTTAATTTAACAAAAATAAGTTGGCGGAATTATTAGGAAAATTCAATCTAGATGAAAACCCCTATAAAAGTAATACTAATTAATGCTGGCGAACAAATCGTTCATGAGAAACAACAAATAAATGTTATTGAAACGTTCGCCATTCAGTCAGGAATCGATTTATTATTTCATATAATGGATTGTGATAAAATTTGCCAAAATTTTCCAAAATTATATACCAACATGCTTGGAAGCTTACCAATTCTAATCCTGAAGGTGGTCCAGCATCGTAATGCTTCACTGAAGTGAGACGATGGTTATTTGGTAAAAGGCTAGCAACTTCGGTCATTTTTGATTGGGTTTAGTACATGCTCTTTCTGATGTAGTTTGTCCTGAAATAGATTTGAAGCTTATTTTACATCGTTTGTTTATACAAGGGTAAAACATAAATACATCACAAAAACAAGGTTAAAATTGTAAAAAAAACAAAACAAGATTATTTATTTTATATCCGAATGAGTCAGTAAGTATAGGTAATGCTTTGACTGAGGATGTCGAGCTCCTTGGACATTCCATAAATGGAAAAAGATTTAATGACTCGCCTGCTGTTTGGCTCAATTTGCAATTTTAAATAAATAATATAATATTTTAAGCTGTAGGTATCTTTTTGACGCCATCGGTAGTCAAAACCACTTGCAAATCTGATTTATAAGCCTGTATTCAATGCGTAATTTGCCGAGAATATTAAAATTGATTGTGACAGGAAAATAAAGTAGGTAAGTACATAATGATCTAACTTCTGTAAATGGTAAGATTAATTCATTGTGTTTTTGTATAAGTCACAAGAATCCCTATAGAATCGCTTCGTGGGTACCTAATGAAGAGTTTCGCTAAGATTAGTTTAGTTTAGCGGCAGTATATTCATTAATTTTTGTACTATGAATGTTTGTTCAGATACTTTCGACTTTTCTTGTTCTCTATGTTTTACATTCATTTTTGTGCCACCATGGGATTCTAGGATTTCTTTTTTCCTATGTTCATATTAATCAAATTCTTCTAATGATTGGAGAAGATAATCTTCATGATGAATTAGGTATGCCTGATGATTTTCACAGAAAGGAACAGAAACTCAAAGCCATAGGAATAGACGCAGCAAGTCAGATTTGAAGACAAGTAATCTCGAATACGAATTGAAGGGGATCGATGTCGATGATCTAAGTAAAGAGGTTGAGGATTTTGAACATATTGGAAAGAAGAATGCGGAATTGAACAATGATGAGCTACATAAAGCAAGTGAGAGTTATTATTGTTTGATAATTTGAATAAGCATCTTTGAGGATTATTTTCAAGGTCTTGGGCAACAAATTTCCGAAGAAATAGCAACTCAATCTATTGCAACTTTTGTTATTGGAAATGTGAAAACTCTGGAGAAAATCTTTGGTAAGTTCAATAAGCCCCCAGATACTAATATTTTTTCACAGAAAATAATAATTCATTTGGATTAGTGAAGGAAAATAAAGAAATCCATAGGATAATTGAACCAATTTAACGTCAAACCGATATGGGGAGCAGGGGCGTAGTCACCGGTGTTCCGCGTGTTCCACGGAACACGGGCCCGGTAGCTCAAGGGGTCCGGTTCTACATGTCAATATTATTTTTTCTCCTATTAAGTAAAAAAAAATAGATTTGAAGCTAATTTATGTACTTAAAAATAAAAATCATGTGTAGCATCGTACACATGTTAAGAAGTGATACTTCTTGAAAACTATTATACAACTTTTAGACTTGAGAGTATGAGTCAGGGTAAAGCACTGATCGGGTAAAGACGAAATGCCACATAAACATCTTCAGTGACGTCCCAAAGGTTTTGACGCTTGACAATAATAGGCAATCCTCTTTACTTATAATCCTTGGTTTGTGTCAATCGTTCGTCGGCTGTCATTGGCTATCTTTCTTTGTCTCTCTACGTTATATCATATCATTCTTCTATCTCGTCTATCGTGTAATGAAATTTTCCAAAACATGACATTATGTGACATTTCTTTCAAATAAATCTCCATTCTCGTCCAAATATCAGACCGCCGCCAAAGCATAACTCGAGTTAAAATCAACCTAGAAGTGACTTTCTACTGAGAAACCGACCCTAAGGAGTTTCACTTTTTGATTTGACCATTGATTTGACCTATGATTTCTTTTGGGTTGGATTTATAGTGTCAGTAGCAGTAACAGTAACAGTAACTTAAAACTTAAAACTTAAGAACAGATATTAAAATAACCGTTTCTCAAATTTTACTGATAAGTTTCTTAATGCCCGATTGCACCATCTCTCTTAACTGAGGCTTAACGATAACTATCCCTTAAATTGACAGTTTTGCATGGAAAAATGTCACTTTAAGGAATAGTTATCTCTAAGCCTCGGTTAAGGGAGACGGTGCCATCGGGCATAAGTGAACTATAAATGGCTTTACGGTCCGCCGTGTTTTGATATTTTACTGTAACTACTACTGTTACTGATACTGACATTATAAATCCAGCTTTATTATTTTATAAAAACTTTCTGATTTTACCGCTTGTCGCGTGTCGCATATCTTCAATATTCATTGGTACGGCCGACCACTCCATAGTATGCCAGGATTGCTATCAGGTATGCCAACTCAAGATCTTGCAATCCCTGCATTGCGCTTTGTTTTGCTCAAGTTTGTTTGAGAGAAGTAGGTAACCAGATAACCTCATGACGTCATCTGGGGTGCCGAAACATAATGCAAATCTTCATAAGCGGCACACCAGATGAGTCATCAAGTTACCCCTTACCAGACAACCTATTAACTTTAGGAACCATGGATGTGCTGCCGTTTAATGAGGTGAGTTCAGCTTTAACATGAAGGGTATTTCTGGCATGACATTGTATATGAAATACCTAGGTCTAGAATTTTCTGCCGAATCCGGAAATGTCATAATATACAGAGGGTACCATTTAAAAAAATAAGGTTGATAACGGTACAGCTGTTCTTGTATGAAAGAAAACATTAATGTGGAAAGATCTCAAGCAAAAATCGAAGTGTGCGAGCATTTTTTCGAGAACGCCTTAATTTATTTTATATTGAATATGTTCCATACTTTAAGTTCACCCTGTATATTTGAAAAAAAATATATATATTTCTATCATTTCTCAATTTTTTCATCTCGCAGGAGTAGGGGCCCGGTAAAATTTTTGAACTCGGGCCCGGAACATCGTCACTACGCCACTGATGGGGAGCCTGTTTTGAAATTACCAATTCACCTTAGAACTGGATTTTTTCATTCCAATCAGGTTATGTTGGTGAGTATTTATGGAACAAAAACTTCACACTCCAGACATGATTTTCTGGAATCCTACGAGATCCGGCAGGAATTGTTCTTCTGCTTTTTCAAATCCAGTTTCTAAGAGTTCTATCCGGGATTTTTTGAGATAAGGCAACCTTTTCATTTTTCAATTTCTTTTCAAACTCTTTCTACTGTTCTTTCCCCTGTCTTGTTTTGTTTTAGACTTTAGTTCACAAAGGTCGTTTTGTGCCACCGACTTGTACCAGCTTTGAACTTTGATTTTAAGAAAAAATTATACTTCCTCTCGAATTCACAACTAACTCCTACGTACATTTTGCCGATATTTTCAACTTCTAGAAGATGATCTGAACTTTGACGATCTTAATGACGATATTAAACATGTACTCCACCAACCATTCATTGATCTCATTGCAAATCCGAACAGAAACTTGCCAGGAGCAAAGACCCATTCAATTGAGGACTGGCTTTTCTCATCTTAGCCACAGCGAGGAAAAAATTATTAGGTAAGTGTGGTGACCAGAGATAGTGGTGACACACCTTTATGTTTTAATACCATGTCTACCTGTATTTGTGTGTCATCCGTAATTATTTGTCAAGTTAGGTCGGCTTCTCATGAGCGTAATTTGACATTAATGGCGTGACAGCGTACCTGAATGCATTATTCTGATTGGCCGAAATCCCACCATATTGGATACGCTGACACTCTGCCGCAGATACGCCAAAAGTTTAGCAAAGTTCAACTTTTCGCGTAGAAATTCAGCGTTTTTAGAGGTTAAGGTTGCAAAAGTTTCGTTTTGTTGATTTTTGCAGTTTTGTCCATATTTGTAACTATTTGGAAATAAAGCCAAAACAAATAAAAATTTGTACAATCAAAATTCAAAGAAATATTTCAAAATTTAGAAAAAGAATATGATTTTGACGGCGGCAGGCGGCAGAATGTTGCGCCAAAATTCACGTTTTCAGCATTTTCGCGAGTTATGTCAAGTTTCCGCTCATGAGAAGCCGGCCTTAATCTTATGCTTAATTTTGTCGATTAAAGCCTTATTTCTGAGGTATTTGCATTACTACAATTCAATCGACATTATGGACAAGCTGCTGAGACCTGAAAGGTTTCAAGGTTTGATACTGATTATCTCTATAGCTCATCGCAATGTAAACCAATCGCTACAAAATCGAGAAAATTTTCACATGATGATGCCAAAATTATTTCAAGTAAAGTACAAAAGCTTCTTTCAGAAGGTATCATTGAAGAAAGTACGTCTTCCTGGCGAGGACAAGTACTTGTGACTTGTTGACTATTCTCAAACAATCAACAAGTTTACTTATCTTGACGCTTTTCCTTTACATAATATCGAAGAGTTGGTAAGAGCAGTCTCAAAGTTTGTCGTTTTTAGCACTATTGACCTATAAGGGCCAGTTTCACAAACAGTGGTAACCCAACAGTAACTACAAAACACTGGTAACCTACAATATATCTGTTTCATTATGTGTGGTTTAGCCAAATCAATTGGTCAAGATTCAGAATATTCCATGTAGTTAATCCACAACTATGAGTTTGATAACCAGTGGAGGTTACCACCAATTGTGAAACTGAGCCTAAGAGATGATGAAAAACAGCTCTCTGCTTTCGAAGCTGATGGAAGCCTTTACTAGTTTAATCGTATTCCTTTTGGTGTGACTAACGGCATAGCTTGTTTTCAAAAAATTTCAGATATAATAATCAGGCAAGAAAATCTAGAAAGAGTTTGCGCATATCTCGAAGACAACAATTTGTGGAAAAAATCAAGAAGGGCACGATAAGAATCTATCAGCTTTTCTGACAGCTGTTAAAAAGTACAACCTAACTATAATAGTATATTAAGCAACAAGTTTAGTAAAGTGAGGTTTTACCAATTGAGTGTGGCCAGTTTTGTGTACGAGCGAGCGAAGCGAGCGAGTACTCTAAGGCCTCACGAGATTGGGTAAAACCCCTTGCAAATGAGTTGCTTATACTATTTTATCTACAAGCGTTTGGTTATGACGTTTTTACATAACCATTTTTCTAGCATTTGAGTTATGTCATGAGACT